AGAACTACAAGACCTTTTAGAACTAACACCAACAAAAATGTCCTTTTCATTATAGGGGACTGGAATGCAAAAGTAGGAAGTCAAGAAACACCTGGAGTAACAGGCAAATTTGGCCTTGGAGTACGGAATGAAGCAGGGCAAAGGCTAATAGAGTTTTGACAAGAGAACGCACTGGTCACAGGAAACACCCTCTTCCAACAACACAAGAGAAGACTCTATACATGGACATCACCAGATGGTCTTTATTCCTAGTACCACCTGGGAAACCCTCAATAAAATAGCTATGGAGACCCAAACTAATGAAGCTGGGCTCCAGAAATCTGTAGAACATAAATAGCCAAAATAAAATCTGAGGCATGTTCCAAAAGGTAATGCAGATTATTTAGGAGAGTTACGGTAACAGTTAGCAGAAAATTACATTTAAATACGCCACCTAATTGTTCTCATTAAAAAGAAATTTTAAATCATCTTAAACTTTCCCACCATTAAAACTAAAAGGAGTAACCTTGAACTCCTAGGTGTCCAAGGACACAGCAGTGGCCCACCACAAGAAAGTTTATTTGACGTTCAGTTTTAAACTTAAAAAATCATATGCATTTTGCATTGTATATATCCAAATTTGCTTCAGTGAAAAAAAATTTAAATGACTACAATTTTTTTCTCATTTCTGGAAAATTTAATCTTACCTTTAGATTTGATTTTTCTATTTAGGTTTATATTAATATCAAAGGCCAGAAGTACCTAGATATTTTACAACATAGGAAGTCCTGTAGACAACTAAATGTTAGGGAACCTTCCAAAAAAAGAAAGAAAAATGTTAAACAGGTATTGAGTGAGTGAGTGAAGTCGCTCAGTCGTGTCCAACTCTTTGTGACCCCGTGGACTTTAGCCTCTCGGTCCATGGAATTTTCCAGGCAAGTATACAGAGTGCGCTGCCATTTTGTGAGTAAAAAGAGTTCCCTTATTAAAAGGTGTCCACTTCCCAGAGGGATCGGGTGGAGAGGGAGGTGGGAGGGGGGACCGGGATGGGGAATACATGTAAATTCATGGCTAATTCATTTCAATGTATGACCAAAACTACTGTAATGATGTAAAGTAATTAGCCTCCAACTAATAAAAATAAATGGAAAAAAAAAAGGTGTCCACTTTTCTTTATATATCTATTTTCTAACATTTGTTATAGCACTGAATTACAGAGAAGAATGAAAGTTTCAGCATTAACAATTCAAGAATCAAAAGCCCCGCCCAAGGGATAGATTGGGAGTTTGGAATTGACATGTACACACTGCTATATTTAAAATACATGACCAAGGACCCATTATATGGCACCTGGAACTCTTCAAAACACTCTGTAATGAGTTCAGTGTGAAAAAAAATTTGAAAAGAATAGAACTGATTCACTGGGCTTTACACCTGAATCTGAGACAACTTTGTTAATCAACTATACTCCAATATAAAATAAAAATTTTTAAAAACCCTCCCAAAACATCAGAAAGTAACAAAAATTATTGCAAACCTTGAAAATAATGCTGACTCACTCTTTAAGTGGTGTTAATAGGCCTAATATATAACATAATTTGTAAAAGGCTATGCCATTTATTCATATTCGAACATCATCCAGATTTTGCCCCACCATTTTTCTGTTGAGCAGGGCATAGCTGTTGAACTTCGTAGGTATCACGTATGAGCAGAGATCCCTCTGAAGACTTTAAAGCTACAAGAACTTGGTAGCACTACCTAGCCCTCTTAGTGGTCATTCATGTATTATAACCAAAAAGCTAAAATCATTTCAACTGAACAAATCTTCATTAAGTCATTTATATTAACAACAAATTGCTAGATGCAATATTCAAGGAACTTTCAGCTTAGTGAAAGGAGACATAAAGAAAGAAAGAAAGAAAGAAAAGACATAAATAAAGAAAACCAAAAATTAATGTTTCAGATGTGCCAAGCTTATTCAAAGTTCTCACATCTCCTGTCTCTTTAACATATACTCTGATTTGAGAGATATCACTATAATTATCCTTTTGAGGTTCAAGTGTTGCCTGAGTTTGATTTTTTTTTCAGTAAAAATATATATTTCTTGTATATACTTGGAAATTCAAAAACATAATTCTTGGAAGGTTGAGGAGTAATGAAACTAATGTCCAAATTGAGACATCAGCTCTCCTGTTTACTTTATGTGCCCCCTCATCCCCTCATTTGTAAAATGGGGACATTGACACCTACCTGTGGCAGAGATGTCTCCCTTTCTGGGAACATAGCTAGAAATTCTCTTCCAGTTCTCCTGGCCAGTAGGTGTGGTCACATGACTGAGTTCTGGCCAGAGAAACAGGAATGTGGGAAGTGATGCCTCTCCCCATCTGGCCAGAAAACAAGGGCAAAAAAGTCTTCTCCTCTTTCTCTCGTTTCCCTTTTCTACAGGCTCTGTCCCGCTCCGAGGGCCACCTAAAAGCCTTGTGTGAAGGCTTGTGGAAAATCCTCATTAGCCCCAGTCTCTGTGGGCAGAGAGAATAACCTCCCACCCAACCCTGGGCTCCACACACTGGGGTTTTCCTTGGCAAGAAATAAATATGTATTGTATTAAGCCATAGAGATATCAGAGTTTACCTGTTAACAGAAGATTAAGCATTTCTTAAGCTAGTACATACATCTGCAAATGAGGTAAGGAGTGAGATAATTCACAAGAGGTAATTAACACCTCGAGTATCAGGGACTGTGCACTCCTGTCAATGTGAGGCCGTGGGACACTGGAACTAGGCTGTCACCTCCTATCAATCTATTTCTTAAATTGCAGGGTAAAGTTAACCACAAATAACAAAGTCACGGAATCAAGCTGTCACAAATTGGCCTCCACATTCCTAAGGGGTTTGAAGTGTGTGTATTTGACAGAAAAAAAGCAGGAAGAACTCAGGAGAGGTAGAGAATGTAACTGGAGCTGGAAAATAATATTTGCATGCATTTGCAAACCTAGTTGGGGCCCCAAAGTGCAGGAGAGAGAGAAGGAGCATTTGCTGATGCCAGTTGGACGAATAAGCAATTCACATTGGTTCTCTCATTTCTTCTTTGGAATAATCCTAAAGGTACATACTCTTCTTTCCATTTCCAATTAAGAACTGATGCTGTTTTTCTCTTTCTTACTTCACTATTACAGGCTCTACATTCATCCACCTCACTACACCTGGACACAGTGGGGGAAGGATGAATTGAGAAAGCAGCACTGACATACATACACTATCACGTGTGAAATAGATAACTAGTGGAAAGCTACTGTATAACGTAGGGAGCCCAGCCGGGTGCTCTGTGACAACCTAGAGGAGTGGGATGGGAGTGGGGAGGAAGGCTCAAGAATGAGATGATATATTCCCTGGTGGCTCAGCGAGAAAGGCTCTGCCTTCAATACAGGAGACACAGGAGACTCAGGTTCGATCCCTGGGTTGGGAAGATCCCCTAGAGAAGGGTATGGCAACCCACTTCAGTAATCTTGCTGGGAAAATCCCATGGACAGAGGAACCTGACGGGCTATAGTCCACAGGGTCACAAAGAGCCAGACATGAATGATGTGACTGAACACACACACACACACACACACACACATACACACATATATATATATATATTTAAAATTGGGCTTCCCCAGAGGCTCAGCAGTAAAGAATCCACCTGCAATGCAGGAGACACAGGAGATACAGATTTGGTCCCCGGGTAGGGAAGATCCCCTGGAGGAGGGCATGGCAACCCACTCCAGTATTCTTGCCTGGAGAATGCCATGAACAGAGGAGTCTGGCAGGCTATCATCCATGGGGTCGCAAAGAGTCAGACACAACTAAAGTGACTTAGCACGTACACACACACATATGTGTGATTATGGCTGACCCCCACTGTTGTAAGGCATAAACCAACACAGCACTGTAAAGCAATTGACCTCCAATTTTAAAATTTTGAAAAAAGAATGGATGCTGTGAAAAAGAAGATCTCAAGTTTATAGGCAGGCAGAGCTGGCTTCAAACCTAAGTCAGTCTAGTTTTAATATCCTTGCTCTTTCTGATGTAAGCACTTAAACTTTCAATGCTTCTGAGTCTATGCTGTAGACCGGCCAACCATTCTACTTGGGGAACAGGGTGCCTGTGACAAAAGAAGTCGTTAGTGACAGTGTTCAGTGTGATGCCAACACTGAGGCCATTGAAAATGGACTCTGAGAAATGCAAGCTATGCTCAAACAGAGCTCTTTTTCAAGGGGGCCTGATTTAAATGGCCAACTGCTAGAGAAAAAAGACATTAAAGGAAGAGCCTTTCAGCTGGGCTTGCAAAACTCCAGGTTCATGAATTCGAGAACAGATTAAAAATGAGAAAACAGGGTTTCAACCACAGCCTCAGGAGCTTCTTGCATCTCTCAGGAGTTTGCCTTTTTCAGTGGTACAATTAAACTATGCTACCCAACCTCATTCTCAGTTTTCAATTAATCTACAGTGATTAATTTAGCAGCTAAAACCCATTTGCTATCCAAGATGACCTGACAGTCAGGTCACCTCCCTTTCCCTATCTGATAGCAAACTCCCCCAGCTCAGCCAAGGTCAAATAGGATGGTGGGGCCTCTGTCCCCTCCACCCACCACCCCACTGCTATACCTGGCTAAGAGGATTGCCCAGTGGATGGAAAAAACAGATGCTTGAGAGGATGCTTCAAAATACTAAGCCAGAGATAGAAATTGCTCTTGAGGCACAACCTTTGATTTTCACTTCCAAGTGTGAGCTCATGACATGTCCCAGCAGTATTATCTCCCTGGCCCATAACAGCTGTTATGTAACATAAGGTCATTCAACATGAGCTGGGACTTTCTTGACCAAGAGCACACAGACTGTTGTTTTGAAGCAGGTTGACTTTGGAAAGTCAGTACTTCTCTCTCAGTTTGCTCATCTAGAAAATTAAATGAATAGAATTGACCTCGGGGTCAGAGTGAAGAATGAATGAAGGCGAGAGGAAGTCATCACACTGTTTTATTCTATGCCAAGGGACATGGTCATCCTGGCCCTGGGGGGTGGTGCCACAAGGGGAGTACAGTGATAAATGTACAAAGTATGATGAACAGGGTGGGGAGTGAGCTGGGGAGGAAGTAGTCAGCTGGCAGGAAATCGCTGGAAAGTGCAGATGGAGGGCATGTCTGCTGATAGAGTTGAGATCCTCCTTGAAGAGAATGCACAGGCGGGGCTGCAGAATGAGATGTTAGGACGGCTGAGTAGTGAGGGCACAGAAGCAACGTCAGGGTGCTCTGGTGTCCTTCTGTTCCCAGCCTCGCAGCCATCTGCAGATGACAAATTCACAAGTACAGTGACCCCGGGTGCTGCATAAGAAGATGGGCTACTCAGCCTTCCAAAGACAATTTAGAGTCTCAAGAGCTCTTTCTCTACTTTTCTTTTCTGGTATAAAGGTCCTGAGAAGACCAGCTCCCCTGGCCAACCATCCTTTGTCTCCGTCTGTTGGGGGAAATCATCAGCCAGCTTTACGAAGTAGCTGGGAGCCTCCGTCAGGGGGCCAGCTCTGGAGACCCGCAGCACAGACCAGCCGTTTATCACTGTGCAGCCCTTGGGGCTGTGGTTTATAAAAGAAAGAAAAGGTGCTTGAATGCATTTCCCCAGGGGAGGGCAGAGGCCTAGGACACCTGCCAAAGTAGAGAGGGAACACGAAATTAAAAGACGCTTGCTCCTTGAAAGGAAAGTTATGGCAAACTTAGACAGCATATCAAAAAGCAGAAACATCACTTTGCCAACAAAGGTCCAGATAGTAAAAGCTATAGTTTATCCAGTAGTCATGTAAGGATGTGAGAGCTGGACTGTAAAGAAAACTGAGTGTTAAAGAACTGATGCTTCTGAATTATGGTGCTGGAGAAGACGCTTGAGAGTCCCTTGGACTGCAAGAAGATCAAACCAGCCAATATTCAAGAAAATCAGTCCTGAATATTCATTGGAAGGACTGATGCTGAAGCTGAAGCTCCAATACTTTGGGCACCTGATGCGAAGAGCTGACTCATTGGAAAAGACCCTGAATCTGGGCAAAATTGAATGCAAAGGAGAAGGCAGTAGAGGGTGAGATGGTTGGACAGCATCACCGACTTGATGGACATGAACTGAGCCAACTCCAGGAGGCAGTGAAGGACAGGGAAGCCCAGTGTGCTTCCATCCATGGGGTCACAGAGTTGGACATGACTTAGCTACTGAACAACAAAGTCAGGCCCCTGAGCCCAGACTCATTTCCACCAGTCAGAAACATCAGCCATGAAAGGGCAGGTTCTGGGAATTTGATCTCACTTCAGTTCTACGGAGTTCTAAGGAGCATGTCCAGTTCCAAAGGACAACAGTGGAATCCGGTCCAGGGGTGGGAGTCAGGGAGGGTGTCCCGTGTGGGATGCTGCCTTGGAGAATGCCATGGGTCAGGACAGTGACTGTTGAATGATGCTGCCAGAGACACTAAGCCTGATGCTGGGATAAGAAACAGCATCCAGCACATTTCAGCTGTATGTGCTGCCACTGGAAGAGGATGTAAGTCACACAGACCATCTTACTGTCATCGGATTGCCCTCTGTGGACATCTAACTCAAACTTAGGTTGTCTGCTTCTGGATTTACCATGCTTGAAGTGGGGAATCAATTTATTTAAAAATCATTTGTTCCAAGAAACACAGTTTGGGTACCATGTCAGAGGAAGAGGGAGCTTCATGGTGGGGGGAGGGGAGGAAGCTGACTCTTGATGGCCCATGTGTCAAATCTATGGGTAGATGTCAAAGAATATTGGTTGCCCTTCACACATTCATTCAATAAATACGTACTGAGTGACTCCTTCATCACATATAAATGCTATGAAAAAGAGACAAATTTCCTGCACTCAGAGATCTGGGGAAGCAGATATTAAACCAGGAATTACAGAAGACTATGAGTAAGGTGTTCAAGCACACTGATGCCATAGGAGAGTGATCCTACAATTTATTTAGTTCCAACTCAGATGTCTATAATAAGGAAACCAAATCCTCAAAAGAGAAATCTAATTAATATCATTTAATGCTGATGGGAAGTAATAATATCATTTAATGCTGATGGGAAGTATCAAAGCTACTAGACATCATCTGTTGGTCCCTATCCTTGAGAATTAGAGGAAATGGAAACTTCTGGGTCTGAGTCTTAAGCTCTTCCAGGCTTCTCAGGTGGTGCTAGTGGTAATGAACCCACTTGCCAATACTGGAGATGTAAGAGACGTAAGATTGATCCCTGGGTTAAGAAGATCCCCTGGAGGAGGGCATGGCAACCCACTCCAGTATTCTTGCCTGGAGAATCCCATGGGCAGAGGAGCCTGGCAGGCTACAGTCCATGGAGTCACAAGGAGTTGGACACGACCAAAGCTACTTAGCATGGCATAGCATGACAGGGCTCTTTGAATTTTCAGCTGGTCCTTCTCATGTGGGCGCACTTCCCAGGGGTCACTGAAGCAAGGAAACATTGAATGACCCAGTCAACCTCCAACTCTCCAACTGCTGTGATGACAGCGAGGGTTGGGGGAAAGAGCATCCACATTTTCTGTGTCAGCTCAGCCTGGTTCACTGTCCTCAACTCCAGTTCCCAGATAAGTGTGATGCTGTCAGCCCCCAGGTGCCCTCATCACAGTCGCTTTGGAGTCACCGGGATGCTGCCCATGCTCCAGAGGCAGAGAAAATAAAAACACTGCTCAGGTTCTGCATTTTACACCTGTTTCCACCACACCCTGCTGTCCTCCTCCTATTTTCCCTCTCTTTTCCTCCCCCCTTCCACTGCACTACTTACAAGGAAAAAAAGTAATAACAAATAGGAAGGCTAATTCTAAGTTTGTGCAGTCCCAGCGTGTATCCTGGTCCGCCTTTCGTCCTGTTATTTTCTCCTGTGTCTGGCTTTGACAAGACTGGTGACATTTACGTTTTCCAAAAGCTTCAATAAGAAGCACTTTAGCTGCAATCACCTCCATCTAATTTCCCCAGTCAAATTTTTTTTTTTGGCTTAAATCACACAACAAAACTAAGGTCTGAGCTATTCTGACAACTTGTCACCAAATAGGGCTCAGCCCAAATGGGATGTCTTGAAAACCAAGGACAAAAGGGGGGAAAAAAACAGACAAAGTGACCTGAAAATGAAGGAGGAATGGCTGGAGGAAGAGAGGAGATTGGCATGAGTCAGTTTGTTCAAGTTCTAAAACACGTGGCTCAACGTTGTCTGGGGCTGAGAACAAACAGAAAATGTGTTTATTTCTTTAGAGAGGAAGTAACAGGGTGCTGGGGCTGGAAATATCGTCAGTCCACCATATAGGGGAGCCTTCACTCCAGAGAGGGAAGGCAGCTGGCCCTGGTGGTTCACCAGCCTCTAGGATAGAACTTCTAGCAGAAGGCATGAGTACCTTGCCTTCATAACTCTGGATAAAAGGCTTCCCAAGCAGCTCAGTAAAGAATCCACCTGCCAATGCAGGAGACACAGGAGACACGGATAAGATCCCTGGATCAGGTAGATCCCCTGGAGGAGGAAATGGCAACCCACTTTAGTATTCCCGCCTGAGAAATCCTATGGACAGAGGACCCTGGCAGGCTCCAGTCTATGGGGTCACAAAGAGTCAGGCACGACTGAGCATGAGCACATTTGCATGCTAGGTAGAAGGATTAGTGTCCTGGGGAAACCAAGACCCACATGTTTTTCCCATAGCTGCACAGTGATTCAGAATATGGAGGGAGAATGTTAGAGGGAACATTGCATCCCTTTTTGAAAATAAATGTATTTACTAAAAAAATTATATGCATACAGAAAAATATTCAAATTATACTTTCTCATCTCAATAAACTCTTGCAACTTGAACTTGCTCATGCAATGACAATTCAAGTATAGTGAAAAAAAACTCAAAAAGCTCTGTTCACACTCCCTCTCAGTCACTAGAAAGCACTAATATCTTTGAAAAGTATCATCATCCTGATCTCTAAAACCATGGATTAATTTTGCCTACTTTTGTACTTTATGTAAATGAATCATATGCATACTGTATACTTTTGTTTGTCTGATCCCTGTTGATAGACATGGCAACAAGCCATTTTCACTGTTAATAGCCTTCTGTTGTAATAGTGATGTCACAGTATTTATTCATCATACTTTGGATAGACATTTGAGTTATTTCCAGCTTGGGGCTCCTGTAGATAATGTTACTATGAACATTCTTTACATCTTGGCACATAGATATTCATTTTGTTTTGGTGAACACCTGGGAGTAGAATTGCTGTTTCACAGGCTATGTGTACAGTCAGCTTTAGTAAATGATGGCAAGCAGTTTTCAAAGAGTCTGTAGCACTTTTACCCTCTTACCAGCAGAGTATGAGTATTTCAGTTGCTCTACAGTTTCACCAGCACACGGTGTTTCATTTTAACCCCTTGAATAAGTGTTCATAGTTTTAATTTGCATTTCTCTGATTCTTAAAGGTTTGCACCTTTTCCTATGTTGCTGACTGGATATCTTCTGTTAAAACTTCTGTCTATTGTTTCTAATGATTCTATGTCCTTTTCTCGTGATTTATAGGAATTCTGTATACATTCTGGAGACAAGTTCCTTGTTGGTTATAAGTATCCAGATAGAAAGTGTGACATGTCACTTACAGAGAGAACTTCATGCCAACAATCTCCACTTCCCATCATCTTCCTCCTCCAACTCCCAGCTTTATTTTAGGCTTGATGTCACTTTGGCTGGAAAAAAAAAAAAAAGAAGTACAATGTGAGAGCTGTGAGTTAAATTTTATTCAGGGCAAAATGAGGACTATAGACTGGGAGACAGCCTCTCAGATACCTCAGAAGGACTGATTTGAGGACGCGGGGGGGGGGGGGGCGGGGAAGGTCAGCACATATGTGATTTGGCAAAGAGGGACACATGCCATTAAGCACACATTTTGGTAGGAGTTGCTCCTAGTCACAAGAAGTTTGCTGCTAGTCATGAGGCGCAGATGTCTCCATTAATGACTTTAGTGTTATTTAAATATGAGGAGGTGCAAGAAATTGGCTCATAAAATCTTTTCCTGAAAGTATCTCCCTATCAGAAGGGCTTGTTCAGCCAGTTTTTGCCAGAACACAGAGTGCCTCGTTTCTGATCTCTGCCCTGAACTTCTTTCAGGATGTGATGAAGATCAGTGACTGCAGTGGCTAGTGACTTCACCCTTGTAGAGGCAGATGGCAAGTAACAACTTTTAACTGGCACCCCATTCTCCCTACCATCAGCCCAAGCTCCTACAAACATTTCTTAGTCTATCTCCCTCCCCTGTGGCCTGGGTGCATGTACCCCTAGCATCACACCCCAGAGGCCCTGTGGTTTTCAGCAGATGGAAGCACACTCACTCAGCATGTATGCTCCATCTTGGTCGCATGCCAGCCCTCGCACACCAAGGTTCACATGTGACTATGAGCGCAGAAGGATCAGGGGTAGAGGCAGAGGTGAGCTCAGTGGACAAAGCAGTAGAGTGTTCACATATCCTCTGAAGCATAAGAACAGCATGGAGGACCCGATATAGAACAGCAAACTCTAGAGAACAGATCCACTTGTATAGAACATTTGTTTCATAAGTAAAAAGGCTTCTGGTCTGGCTGGAAGACAGGATGCCAAAACCTTGCCCTGTCACTGCTTTGGGTGACCAGCTTATTTTGGTTCACCTCAGTGGTCCTGGCTTTAGCTCTTAAAGTCCTGCACACTAGGAAACCCCTCAGTAAGAGTGATTGTTCACCCTTTAGCTGTCTCTGAATAGCTGTGTTTTATGGGGAAAACTACCTTCCTACGCTAGTTTATAAAGCTACCATTTATAAATTGAGTTGGGAGTAGGATAGAAAATCTCTACTTCTCCTTTCACACCTGACTATGTTATTGTTCCAGTATCTTTTAGTAATTTACAGTCAAGTGTGCCCAGTCCTTAAGTCATGTCCAATTCTTTTGTGACTCCATGGACGGTAGCCCCGTCAAGCTCCTCTGTCCCTGGAATTTCCCAGGCAAGAATACTGGAATGGGTTGCCATTTCCTTCTCCAGGGGAACTTTTTGACCCAGTGATTGAAGCCATGTCTTCTGCATTGGCTGGCAGATTCTTTACCACTGAGCCACCAGGGAAGCCTTCTAACAGTCAAGAAGTAGATACAAAAATTCCACAAGGGAGGTGGGTGTATGCCCATCTCTGTGTTAACCTTTACCTAATAACAATGTACCAAGTACTGAGAGTCGGTGTGCCAAGCACTGCTAACGTGTTCTGTGTTCACAGTTTCCTTTAATCCTCAAGAAATCCCTGGGATCTAAGGATTTCAGTCATCATTTCCTTCATGTATGGGGAAACAGAGGCTCAGAGAATTTGAGCACCAGGACCAATACAACACCGCTAGTCAATAAAAGACTAGCATTCAGCCCCAGTCTGCCCATTTCTAAAGCCCCTGGCATTTTCTACCAACTCACATCTAATTGCTCTGTGCTTTAGTGTCATTGCTTGTAAAATGATGCTCACTTGTCCCAGAACAAGGTGACTTCATATGTATCATTTCATCTGATAACTACCTGACAGGGCTGTCATGTGATCAAGTAAGCGCCTTGAAAAATTAAAGACGTTCTCTAAACAAAAGGGATTGTTATGAACAATGCCTGAAGAAAACCAAAGCACAGTCACAAGGTTTGGACAAGTAGAATAAAGCAGGTCTGAACAAATGCTTCCTCTCTGAAATATGCTTTCCAAATTTGATGTTCCATGTGCCTAAATAGATTGGAAGCTCACCTAGTAGGAGAAAAAAAAAGATATGGGAATAAAAGAGAAACCCAGAGTCAGGGGGGCCAACCACCACTTTTCAAGGCTCTGCCCCATCAGCAAAAGAATTTACCAGAAATGTAAAGATTTGGATATTTCATCTGTGTTACCCGGGCTGTTCGCACATCTTCAATGGTATGAAAATTTATGTCGGATCATAATTGAATATGGAGATTGGACTCTAACCATTGACAGGCCAGATAAGATTTGCTCCAGATGGCAAGAAAAAGATAATGAAAGCCAAATACAATAAAAATCAGGGTAATAATAGGACTAGAAAATGTGGCTGAAAATCCCCAGAGAGGAGACTAAGGATGGCCTGGGATAAACTCATAGATAGATGGTCTGTGGACTCTGAGAGCATTTTTAGATGTTAAGGGCAGCAGAGAAATGCCCACTTCAAACGTCTCCACTGGAGGGCCTGAGCAAAGTTAGAGACATTTGCTCCAGAAAAAAAAATGGAAAATTGCACAGAGAGAATGCTCCCTACAGCAGAAGGAGTTCACGGACCCAGACCCGGCCCTCAGGACCTCTAAACACCAGCAAACTCCATTTTTGAAAGAAAGAAACTGAAGACTCACAGAGGTATGCTGACTTCTCCAAGATCAGCAAGATCGTGGATAGGCTTCAGAAGGTCTCCTTGGTTTCCTGTCTCTAGACCAGATCCACCCCTACAGAGGAAGCTGGAAGGAATCCCTGTCTTTAAGGTCAGAGTCTACACCTATTGTATTCCCTGTAGACATCTATTAACTGTTCTCAACCTCACCGTCCATATTGGAAGGTCCACCACTGCCCCTGAAATGCCCAACAACCTAAGTGTCATTTGTTTTTATAAGTAATTAATTTATTTATTTATTTTTGGCTGCACTGAGTCTTCATTGCTGCATATTGGCTTTCTCCAGTGGCAGCAAGCAGGGACTACCCTCTAATTGCAGCGCGTGGGCTTCTCATTGTAGTGGCTTCCCTTGTTGTGGAGCACAGGCTCAGCAGCTGTGGGTCCTGGGCTTAGTTGCCTCTCAGCATGTGAAATCTTCCCAGACCATGGATAGAACCCATGTCCCCCGCATTGGCAGGCGAATTCTTAACCACTGGATCACCAGGGAAGCCCCTGGGTGTGCATTTCTTGTGTGATTCTTCACCATAGAGGTATTTGTTAACAGGATTCCAGGAAACTAAGCTGCCTCCCTGAAGCTAATAGAGATTTCCTGAGCTCTTGGACAAGACAGAAAAGGCAGAAATGAATGGCCAAAACAAAGTGTCAGTGGGCTTGATTTGAAACCCACTTTTCCAGCCTTTGTCCTGACTCCAAGCACAGATGTCTTTCAAATTCCTGGAGCCTAGCAGGGAGGAAGGGAGCAGCTGGCCCTTTGCCCAGAGGATGGCCAAGAGCCCCATCCCCTTCGACTTTCTGAGGCCATGGCACAGACAGCAGGAGTATGAGCTGCTGAGCAGCAGGGGAGGGCCAGTGGCCAGTGGTGGGCATGCCAGGTGGTGTCACCCTGAGGGCATCCACAGCCACATGGGGGCCCAGAGGGGCGAGGTCCAGAGGGAAAGTCCCCATCTTCAAGTCAGGTGCCCCAGCTTAGTGGGAGTTTCCACAAACCCGTCAAAATCTCACTGATGTCCACACGACAATTCATACGGATACAGCCCAGGTCTTGGGGTGACGGTTAATTTTATTATCACTGTTAATCTTGATCATAACCATTGGAAAGTTTCACATGCTTCGCTTCATGCAGGTCCATCACCTGCCATGGCTTCTTCCCCTTGACTGCCTGGCTCTTTCCTCTCTCTCTCGCTTACTCTCTCTCTCTCTCCTCCTTACCCTTTCACACAGCTGCTCAATTAACTTACTTCCAGAAAGCAAAATCCACTGTTGGGAGCTTTTGCTCTCCAAGGCCAATTCCCTGCAGCCTCATGACTACTCCTAACAGCCACACAGCAAGAGAAATCACGGGAAGCCTAGGCAGGCTTCCCGGCTCCCTGGCAGCTGTGGGCTTCTGTTCTCTGCTCCTGCTGCAGACTGGCTTGGGGCAGGGCGAGGCGCAGGTAGAGAGGCTGGAGAGATGGGAAGAGTGGGGAGAGGCTCTGGCCTGGGGAGTGGTGTGTGCCCCAGGGAGCAGGAGCTCCAAGGTCTGGCTTCCAGTGTCTAGAGAAACAGCTGTGGCCACTGGGAAAGCATGCACATCCATGCTGGACCCCTCTCTCTTAATCCTAGCTCACTTCTCCAGTGGCCTGGGGTTAAAACAGAAAGTTAATTGGTTGGTGAGTTGGTTGGTTGGTTGGTGAGTTGGCTTGTTGGTTAGTTGGTTGGTTGGCTGGTTGATTGGTTGGCTGATGGGTTAGTTGGCTGTGAATGAGTGGATTTGGTTGGTTTCAAATCACGACTTTTCCATAAATCTATAAGGCCACAGAGAGGTCACCCCATATCTTTCCTCCATGACCTCTGCCCTCCCATTCTCTGCTTTCTGCTCAAAATTGGGCAAAAAGGAAAGAAAACACTTTGAAAACATAGCTCACTCTCTACATCACGGACTTTATCGTGACATCTGGTGATTTTCCTTGGCCCTGCCTGGGAAGAGGGAGCTTGTGTAACAGCTCCTTGGGGAGAGCCCCTATCTGCCAGTCCATCCAGCCCCACACCCTACACCTCACCTCCATTTCCTCTGCACCATCTTCCAGGCAGTGAGTTCAAGGAAGCCTGGCACGCTGCAGTCCATGGGGTCACAGAGTCAGACATGACTGAGCAGTTGAACTGATTGAATTGAGTAGTATGCCTAGCATTTTGTAAAGACAGGCAAATTTAGTTCTCATTCCAACCCTCATACAAGAAAG